CGATGCGATAACGTTTTGTTATCTCTTATCTTTGGATAAATCGTCCCAACCTAAATTTCTTATCTAATCTAATCCGCGGACGAGCCGCAAAGTACATCCTACCAAAATCACCCGCCGGTTGTTTACAAACTCAGCAAATGCATATCGCAGCGTGTTTCGGGCTATCGCGAAATGGAATTTCCGGAGGTCGCGCCTCCGTAAAGAAAATCGCATTTAAATTTATAATTATTGAAATAATATATTAATGAGAACGAGGAGAAATAAGATCGAGAATCGATCGGAAAAATCGACTTGAATAAATTGAAAGTGAAAATAATGGCGCGATAATTATTACGTCTACTATGCACTTCATTACGTTGCAACGAGAAAAAAAAAGAGTGGAATAAATCAGAGGTAAGAGCGTAATGATATCTCTAGAGCATATCATTAACATGTAATTGCCATGGTGGTCATCCGTGACTGCCGCCTGATTTTTCAATGTCTTCCAATGACTTTCAGTGGAAGTCACTGGCGACTCCAGTCCTATAAGTCCCCGTTATCGCGATTTCTTAAAACATTTGTAAATAGATAAACGCCACATAATATAAAATTTTTGTTTAGGCAATAGCCTAAACAGCCAATAGATAACAATGTAAAGTAAAAAGTGTGCTATTCAACGCATTACTACGAGAATGTAGTCTCATTTAATCGCATTACACGCAATATCTTATCAGCTCATGAAAATTCCACCGCGATGCGCGCAATAAGACGTGCAAAACTCGCCGGGCGGACAACGTGTTAAATAACTATCAGGGATATTTTCAGCGAGCGCTGAAAGAGAAATTTCGCGACAGCCACAGCGAAGTGCGCCTCGAACCTTGTTCGTAAAAAAAAAATTTCATCTTCGAAATTGGAGCAGGGAGGACGAGTCGAGGAGGTTTTATCCGGGTTTATCCTTTCTTAATATATAATCCCTCTGGCCGATAAAAACGGCGATCTTCGACGTTGTATTTTCTCGCTGACGACGAACAATTCGGGAATAGAACAACGTGAGGAACGGCAGCACTTAATCAAACCCCCCGCGGACGTTAATTCGGCAAGTGGAGCGCTTAAACGCTTAATCGTACGTCTTTTCTTCTTTTAAGAGAGAGAGAGTGCTCGAGGATTGAAAAAATTCCGAAGCTCGAAACGAATCTGCCTAACATCCCCCCTCCCTTCCCCCCGTCCAAAAGGTGCCTTCCAATTACCAACACCCACCGAATCCCCCCGCTCATTATCCGAACGAAGAACCTCATTTAACGGTTGCTGTCCGTATAACGGTTTCTCTCTTCTCTCTTCTCCGACATTCGCTCCGTCGCGTCGCTCGTTTTCTCCTCCGGTAACGTTATTGCGTAACCTCCTTTATGCATACGCACGGTGCCATTTTTTTTTAAATACAGCCAGCCTCGTATATCTGACGACATTATAACTACCATGAGAGGCAGGGGGCGGGAGAGAGAGAGAGAAAACTACTGCGGAGAGCTCTCTGCGGTAGTTTTTACGTCTATCGCGTGCGTAACGGGAACACGGAAGAAAAGGAAAAATGCTAATCCGGCGAGACTTGAATCGTATCTTTTTATCAGGGACTTGGGTAGTCGTGCCGTCATTCACGACACTGTTTCCGGCGCTTATTGATTCGTTCGATTAATTTTTAATCTTTCCCTCGGGAAATGTCAACCATAATTTTTCACGCTTGTCGAGCTCATCGTCACCCGACAATCTTCCGAGGATCGAGGCGACTTGAAGACGGCTGATTGTGAGAGACACGTGGAGAGCGTTTGGCAGCGAGCGCGCGGGAACTGACAACGAGAAAATTTATCGCGGGTCACGCGTCACAGCTGCCAGTACAATACAGTCATCGACGCGTTTACCGATGAGCGCATTGCACCTCCGGATCAGATCCGATCGTTATCGGCCACACAACACGCGCGGCTTTTGGGCGGCAAGCAAACGGGCTGATGAAAACACGCGTTCGCCATTGTTCGCCGCGGCCTCGTGCGAAGCGGAAATGCGCGTGTCAATGTTTACGGTCGTTGGTTCGCGGACTTTTGACCGACGAAGGAGACAACAATATGCTTTTTACGGCGACGTGTGCCGACGCGCAGCGTGTGTTGCGGGCAAAACGCCACTGAAATTCCTGTCATTCACCTATAATTGCCTAACAGGTCTCTCATGGTCTAACTGTCGATATAAACAACGTTGCGACGTCTCACTGCTGACTGCATGAATGGTCAATAATTATTAATTACGACGGTATTCGAATTTTGATAACTTTTTTTCTTCCCCCCCCCGACGTTCGATATAAACAAGCTGAAGAAGCGCGGCCCGACAGTCAGACGACGCGCGTTCTTTATCCGCGTCCTTCCTCTGATCTCTCTCTCTCTCTCTCTCTCTCGTCCGAGGAGAAAAACGACGCACAAGACGGATTAATAGCGTAGCGCAAAAGCTGTCAGCATCGCCGAGACCAAGGAATGTCATTATCCAGGATGGACAGGCAGCCTCGCTTGAGCGCAATTTTGAACAAACACACCGCTATTTACGGGACAGTTACACGTGGCTCGTAAAAGCGTCATCGTAATGTTCGTGAGATGGGACGGGATGGACAAGGAGGGATGGGCCTTCGACTTTCCATGTGAAAAATCCCAACGCTTCCCAACGATCTCATTCGCATCGCAATGCCGCATTTTCCTTCGCGCGCAAAGACCTTCGAATCGGGCCGATTGCCGTGATCTTTCGCATTTAGACCAAGAGTCAGCAAATTGCGGCTCGCAATGAGCTAAGAATGATTGGAAAATAAAACAAAAGAAGAGCAATATCTCGTAACGCGTGAAATTATATAAAATTATATTAAATTTCAATACCTTTCAGCCTCAAAGCTTAAAATATATGTTTTATTTTTAAAAATATAGATTATTAATATTAGATTTAGAGATATTAAATTAAAAATAATTTAAATATTAGATTTAGAGATATTAAATGAAATATTATCTAGCTGTTTACAGAAGATAAGATTTGCCGATTCCTGATTCAGACGACGGTTCTCTCAACCACCTCGAGAGAGACGGATTTGTAAGCCGAGGTATACATATACAAACGTAGTTGGGAGTGGGGGAGAGATATTCCAAATAAAAGCACACAACACACACAGAAACAAATGCTGCGTATATTTAATCAACATGTGTTTACGTTCACAGCTGTATGACAATATCTTTAATCCTGAAAAAGAAAGGGCGTTCGTTGGACACTCCTCCCGTATTGTGCGGGACGCTTCTCTTCGTTGCTTTGCGAAAGTCTTAAGATTGTATACCATTTTAAGACTGATGTAAATCACTGGAAGAAATGGAACGTTGAAATTTGAGATTATCAGATTTCACTCGGCCAGGCTGAGTGTCCAATGGGCTCCCCTGATCCTCGCCAGGCTGAACAACAAACTGTGACCTTTCAGGATTAAACTGTATTACTACGGCTATGTCGGGATTACTTAGTAAAAAGTCATAACGCGCGTGCGTGCGCTGCGTTACTGTGTATACGATAAGACGATTCTGTACGGAATCTGTATAGTGAGATCATAATCAGCTGGCGCGAGTGCGCGCCTCATACCATCTCTCGCTTCGTCACCTCTCGTCACTCAATCACGCCGTTAATCTGTCCGTCCGAAGAAACGCTCTAAGAACTAATGGCGATGAGTAAAACTTACTGACCCTCCCCCGCAGGTCCATCTCCAGCCGCTGTTTCTCTGCCGTTAATTTTAAAGAATCGCTTAGCGATTTTCACGTTAAAATTAAAAAAAAAAAGACATTAGCGCCTGAAAGTAATTTTACTCATCGCTATATGTATAAAATTACGGTATGCGAGGATAATAGAAAAATATATATAAATATATATATATATATTGTACAAGGTAATACTATCGTTACAAAAATTCGCCAGGTCTCCACGTTACTCAGGCGCGAAGATATATTTACACTTAAATATTACATTCGTTGTCGCAACAGACGATTTTGCCGTTACACATATATATGACTTATTGAACTGAGACGGGATGATTGCGGGCGATGTGGGGCGTGAAGATTGTCGATAAAAGCGCTGGCAATCCCTCTCTACGTGAGAGAGTATTATCGGTATACGTATACGTCTATTATTATTATTATTATCATCAACACACGTGTGAGCGTCGATCGTTCAAGACGACTCACCGTGTTTCTCGTCGAAAAACTGATAATAAGGTACGCGCGTGTATTACACGCGCGGCGCGCTGAGCTGATATGCGTAATAACAGTTACGTGGCTCGCGAACTTTTGTTTGCCGGAAACATCGCACTTGGTGTTACAGCACGTATAATGGGAAAACCTTGCGGCCCGATAACGCCTAGAATATCTACTCGCGCGTGTATAATTGCGCCTGTGTCCTTCTGCGTCTATTCGTGCACGGGAATGCAACAATTCGGTCGTAATCCATCAACCGCGTGAATATGCATCGCGCGCGTGGCGTGCACGAGGAAGAATGCCGTTCTTGCAAGGAGAGAAATAACACTGTTTCTCTTTAACTTTCAATCGGTTTTAATGAATTTTCAGCAACGCGATTAAACGCGATTAAACGCGATTAAACGCGACAAGGACAATTTTAATCGGAGGATAAAACGGATGAATCAATTTAAATTAATTAAGCCCACGAGCTAAGAGTATTTTCCTTTTTTGCCATTTGCAGTCGGCGAGCCACGTGAACGCGTATAGTATCTCGACGACATGACCTCGTTCGAAGAAGAATCCACGGTCCTCTCGAGCGGAATTTTAAATCAGCGGATCATCGGTGGAAATCAAACAAGAGGCACTTACCAACCAGCCCGCTCAATGACGCCGCTCGTTCTCCTCGCGGAAAAAAAAAAATAACGGTGATGTCAAATGAAGTATGCATGACGATAGGATATGCATGACAGGATGGATGTGATACATTATATTACTGAATAACGAAGGCAATACGTATCCATGTTAAATACGTAGATTTTTACGAATACACATATTTTTTTGCGAGTACAAAATTGCGATCCAATATGCGACATAATAATATGTACAAAGTATAAAACGCTATGAAAATTACGTATATACAACACAAAACACATACGAATATCTTATTAAAAAAAAAAAATGCACATCGGAGAAAGATAAAAATTCAAAGGAGGCTCCGATTAATTAGTCGAACATAATTAATTGAAATATAAAATTTGAAATATATAAAGTGCTCAATCAATAAACCGATCGTCGTTCAATTCGAAAGTTAAAAGTAACGAGTGTTCGAGATAAAGTATTAAAGTAATCAGATCGATAGTAGTAGTCAGGTAAAAGGCGTATAGTACATATAGCGATATATAGCACAGACAGTAGAGCGTAGAGTAGTATGAAAGGTACAAAGAGTACGAAAAAAAAAAAATAGAGTACAGATTTAAAAGTCTCCGAGAAATGTTCGACGTTTTGCGCGTGATCTGTTGTAAACTTCTCTCCGTGATGATTGTCAGTTACATGTATATTCGCGCTGTTTGTTTTACGTCTGTGTTATGTATTGTGTGCGAGAGTACAATCGCGACCCCCTCTTCTCGTCGGTAGGCGAGAGCAGGAGCGGAACGCGGGAACGCACGTGAGGAACGCATTGCACTATATGTGTAATATCACAGATTTCACCCCTGGAAACAAACACTAGGAAAAAAAAAGAACGCGGTTTTCCCCTGGCTTCTCACACGAATTAATCATTATATCAATTATACGGGCACGCGCGCTTCCAGTCGCGACATGATCTCACCGTGAATCCTTCTGTCAAATAAGTTCTTTACTTTTTTTTTTTAAACGCAGATGACCTCCCTTCTCGAGGTGTATCGCACGATTTTATCTATGATTCATCTGCCATAAAAGAGACTCGTTCCATTCGTAATGGGCCTTCCGCAGCACGAGATCCTTGACGACCAGGGCGTCCTCGATCGAGTTGTGCGTCTCCTCCTGTATCTTCTGGTTGAGCACCCTGCGCGCCAGCGTCTTGAGGCCGTTGCGGTACGGCAGGCCGAGGTAATGCGGGAACATCACACAGGTGTCGACCACGTTTTTGTGAATCAGGCGCAGCGCTTTGAGATCGTTCCCGAGACCGTGGCCCATTAGTATCGTCTCGGCGTGGATGAAATTCAGCAGGTCGGTCTGCACCTCCGGTAGGGTCTTGGTGACGTTGTACAACATATCCGCTTCCGTGAGGCCGCTGAATTTCGTGTTGTAATCGATTATCTCGGCGCTCGGATTGACAAGCGTGTCGTACACCGTCTGGCCGTATATGTCGACGAGGCTCACCCGGGCGAGCTCGAGACCCTGCAGCGTGAAGCACATCTCGCAGTCCAACGCGTAGACGCCGTAGTTGTTGTTGTGCGAGAATACCGGGGACGGCCTGGTTTGCACGTAACCGGGGAACGGCCCGTTCACCCCGGGGACCAGACCGGTCCACACGTGCAACTTCCACTCGGTGCAACCCCGCGAGAACCTTGCCTGGTTGCAGCACGTCCAGTACCAGCTGTCGTTGGTCATGCGGTTGTAGAGCTTGCCGCAGTGGTAGACGCAACGCTCCGCGCTCAGATACTCGCCGTTCTGATCGGCGTGGAACACCTTGTCGCATCTGACGCACGTCCTCTCCAATAGTTCCGCGCTGCCGCCGGATCCCCTCCTGTTGTTCGGGCTCTTCTCGCTGTCGAAACCGCTCTCGTTGTCGTGGCCTTTCTCTCGTTTGCCGAGTCTCTTGCTGTTCAAACCCTCTCTGTCGCGGCTCTTCTTCTGTCCGGGGCCCTTCTTGCCGCTCGGACTTTTCTCGCTGCCGGAGTTGCTCCCGCTGTCGCAGCTGCTGTCGCCTCCGGAGCTCTTCTTACTGTCCGGACTCTTCTCACTGTCGGAGCTGCTCCCGATGTCGCAACCCTTCTCGTTTCCCGACCTCTTCTTGTCGTCCAAACTCCTCTCGTTGTCGGAACTGTTCATACTGTCGCGACCTTCCTCATTCTCGGAGTTGCTCTTGCCGTCCGAGCTCTTCTCCTTACCGGCACTGTTCTTGCCGTCGAAGTTCTTCTCGTTGTCGGACGAGCTCTCCTGCTCGGAATTGTCGGACGAGCTGGAATTGCTGTACTGACCGCTGTCACTGTCGATCTTGGGGCCCGACGGGTACGACACGTTGTTTATCATGGCGTAACCCGGATAGAGAATCGGATCGATCTCAATGGGGTAGCCATGATCGAACAATTCCTTCGGTGTCAGCATGTACTTGCTCAACGTGGACGCCAGACAGGCAGCGGGTATGTCGCTCACGAACATCATCTGCCGCTGGCTCTCGTCCGGGATGTCGTCGTTGCTGGACGTGTCGCTGGTGAACACCTCGAGCGCAGGCCCCTCCGGCGTCTTGCCATGTTGAAAGCGGAACTTCGACGATTCCCAGCTCCTGCTCTTGGACGCTTTTCCGGTCTCTTTATCTTCGCGACGCGCGGAGCTCTGCGATTCCTTGCAGTCCGTCTGCAGCGGCGTAGATGCCTTCTTCTTGGACTCTTTTTTCTTATACATATACTGCCCGGAGGACTGGACATGCCTTCTCGTCTCTCGCGAGCTCTCATCTTTATTTCATAGGGACAAACAAATACACGTAAATTACTCCGCAGGTCTACTAGATATTAGATGTCCACACACACACACACACATACACACACGCATGCAAATCTGACCCTTCTATTTTTCTCTTTCTTTCTTTCTTTCTTTCTTTCTTTAATCTAATTAATGAAGAAACCTCTTAGTATTCGATACAGTACAAATGCGACAGGCACACAACAGGCGAAAAGATAAGCAGATGTTTAACAGTTCAACGAACTCCTGCGAGGTTGATTCTGAGAGAGATTGAGGCCGATAGAACGCGATTAAACGAGGCATCGTTTCGTTCTTTTCGAGACGAGACGGTAGACAGAAGAATCCGCGATATTTATTCACGTGCCGATCTTATGACAATCCGCGTGTACTTGCATTGTCGTTAAAATCGTGACGAAGAGGCTTGCGTTTTGTGCGGAGAGGAATGTAATTCTTTAATGGATTCTCTTAAAATGGATCTTGAATGGATTTTCGATAAGAAGTAAATGGTGCTGCGGGCGGTCGCGTCGCGTGTTCTTGACCCAAAAATTGCCTCGAGTCTTTTCGGGGACTCGCGATGACACCGAGTAGGAACGATAAAGGTTGACATAGTTTCGTTCGTCGTACGTGGGTGTACACGGGAAAACAAGACAGAATTCGGATACGCGATTATCCGAAAAAAATGTCGCGCAAAAGGCGACGGTCATATTATAAAATCTTTTAGAATCAATCAGATCACTCACTTCAGCCAATAGCGACAATCGAACGGACAAACGAAATACCGAACGGAGATACAAAAATTAAAAAGTAGAAAAGAACGAGCTATATAAGTAAATAAAATAGAATTTTTTTTTTAAATTTAAGAATATAGAAATATTCTTTTGTACAATTCTAAGAAAACAAAAGACAGAAGTTCAAGGATTAACATGTCTTCAGACGTCTTCAGATGTCGACGGCGCACACCTGTTGGACAACTATTGTGCAGAGTTTACGCGGAGACAAATGCGATAACACGGTCAGAGATACCTATCACCAATACGAACGAAGGCAGGTACGCAAGGTACAGGACAGGGCAAAATGTAGGTAAAATCAGATAAGGCTGCACAGGAAAGAAGAGATAGAGAAACGTCACATACGTAACTCGTGCCAGTCGTGCTTCGTCCACGTGTTGTCGAGTATATCGCTCAGCGGCATTCGTGACTTCGCGCCACTCGATTCGCAGACGCGGCGTTTCGACACTGATTGTGTGGCGGATCATCGCGAGGGTGAAGCATCCGAACGACTGTTGCTCTCGCGGCGACATGGATTCGCGAAATAATTTCGGGAAGACGAGCCCCGCAGAGTAAACATCGCCTCGCGACGGCGCGGCGCGTTGTTTCTTTTTATTCGCGCGTTATCTTCATGTGCAAACGCATGACGTGTCGCGATATTTCCGCTCGAGCGGAGGGGGTTATCGCCGGGAGGGGGAGGAAGCCGAAATTTACAGAGTATACCAGCTTCCGTGCGGAAAAGAATGATCTGTCACACACGGCGCGTTCGAGAACAGAGAAACCTGCAAGGCGGCGGGGGAGACTTCTCTTTTTCTTGAAAGAGCACTCGCTCGAATAACAACAGCTGCGTTTACGTATGCTTCAATGCCCGAAGCGACGAGCAATCGATTCGCTTCGTATTGTTTTGTCCTAAAGGCGCAATTTCGAAATTTGCTCCGTATAAAAATTTCTTCAGGAAAATATAATCTCAAACGAATATAATTTTATCGTGAGATATACAGGATATTTATAAAATGCTTGTGCAGTCTTAAATTGTCATAACTTTTCGTTCTATAATATATAACAAACTATATAATAAAATTAATCTATAGAAAAACATTAAAATTATAATTTAGTGAAGTTTAGTACGTATATTGCATTAAGAGTAATCTATTAATCTCACTGTAATTTAGTAAGAACGACCATTTAAATTTAGTAAATACGACCATTTAAATCACATAAATTTGAGCTCAATGGATTTCCTTTTACAAGAATATGTTTATTCAACATCGCTTTTTAAGCGATTCGTAAATTAAAATAATTAATAGGATTCGAGATATTATTATCATCAGCAAAACGTAGAACTACACTGTAGAACTTTAAAATACTTCAGACTCTATTTATCTCCAACTGTGTACATAATAACGATAATATTAGATTGAAAAATAACAACCGAGGAATAAACGTACGTAAAATTGAAAAATAAATTCTTTCACATTTACTCTTTTTACAAAGTAATTTTAGAACGGACGTTATGAAAGTTTAAAGCTGCACAAGAACTTCATGATCATCCCATATTTCATCGCAAATATGAGTCAATAACGACTTTCTTTACGAGGAGAGCGATCTTCTGCAAACTCCTCTCGACAATCGCCTCGCCTCGAACGGATATCTAATTCCATGCAATTATTTCATTTCGACATCGTGATTCTCGCTAATCGTCACTTCGCGCTCTGATTGTTAACCGGGAGAGAAGAGAGAAACAATCCGCCGCGAGGGGGATAATTAAGGTGTCTCTCGAGATATACTGGAATAACGGCAGTAAAGTGTAAAAGTAAATTCAGCGAGGCGCTTACACGCGACTTTCGCTAATTACATTACCGGCGAGAAGAAGGGAAAAAAAAGATCGCAGCGTACATTGCTTTTTGCCGGTCAGCTGCCTCGGTCACGTCCTCGCGATATATTTGCGCGACGTTCGCGCGTTTGGACGCTCGTCGGGATAAAAATAGCGAGAACGCGGTTGCATACGGCCGCCCGTGTAGCGGCCGAAGAAGAAACAGCTCGCGAAGCAAGACGCGTGCACGACGTAGGTGCCCCTGTTCGCACAAATGCCAGGTATTTGCCCTCGAAAAAGAATAGTGTTAAGTGACAAATGGTATTTAAAATGATAGGTATTTAGTGCACCCTGCAGATTATATTTATATTATATTATTTTTATAGCCTCTACTGAAATTATCATCTTTTTTTATTAATTATTTATTTGTTATTTTATTTATTATTATTAAACCTCCACATGAATTGTCTAAGAAGCGATACGTTCCTCGCGGAAAAAGTATTAGATGTTAGATTGACGCTAAAGATCTGTGGTGGTTTTCTTCATCAAGATACAAATATATGAGTGAATAAATTATGATGAGTAAAAAAAGAAGAGCATGAAGAGCAAAACTCGTGACGACAGTTTTGCTTTTCACGTTTCCAACAAAACGCACAAGTCTTCCGCGTCAACCGAATAGCGCAAGTATTTTTGAAAATACCTATTATTATAATTCAATAAATTTCTCGAGGCTTCGTTAAAAATATTTTCAAATATCTGGACTACCAGTTTCGGATTTTCCGTAGAAAACCAGATAGCTTATAGACGCAGCGCTGATATATAATAGTTCGAATTATTTAGAAGTACAGCAATATGAGTTAATAAGTCGGTATAAACACATTTTGCGTATTCGATTCGTTTATATTTCTCGATATCAGTATTTTTACTTACTTGACTTTCCCGCGAAATTTTTAAAAAATTCGAGACTTCGGCACGTTAACTTCCACCGCAGACTGCACCTCCTCGGGGACGTCATCCGAGTCACGCACGATCAGGATTCCGGCCACGTGTCGATAAAGGGCGAACGCAGATTGTGCGACGTGCGGATGCGAGTAACGCCGAAACGCGCCGAAAGTTTCGCGTGGGCATCGCACAAACTGCGATATCGGTAATTGAATTCGAGCCAACTGCGCGCCCAAACGGGAAAGAGCCGTGCCGAGAACCGGCCCGCGAAAAGAGCGGCACGGAAGGAGAGACTGAGACAGAGGGACCCGGAGACGCTGCACGTGTGTGGAAGGGAAGAAGCGGACGTAAGAGGGAATCGTTTGTTGCTCGGGTAACGGAATGCGGTATGACGATGCGACGTTTCAATATGTACCGTTGCGTCATTTAATAAAATCATTCCGCTTCCCTCTCCCTCTCTCTCTCTCTCTCTCTCTCTCTCTTTCGTCCGTTCGAGGAAACCCGGTACCACTTTCCGCCGAAGCGTGACTAAGTCGTTACGGACGCGGGAATCTCGCGGAGGATTCCCGCGATAATTTCCAGCGAACGGATTATGAGGCGAAACGAATGACGGTCGACAACTTACGAGGAGCGCGTAAATTGGAGTCGTGACTAATGAGAGACGCCGTGCGATCGGTGCCGCCTGCATGCATGCATGCATGGGATAAATTAACGGCGGGCCGTTAGAATTTGTAGCTATCTAATTTCATTACTGTCGATCACTTGATTAGTGGACGCTTGATTTGTTGTACGGTCTGATTATTATTCTGTTTACTTTACCGACGCGTGACTTCGCGCTATCTCAGCGTGCTCTTCGTTTGCGTGTTGTATATTTAGAGCGTGTCTCTATTGATGATATTTCAGCGACGAGTCTGGGAGCTGGAGAATCCCAGATAATATCGTCGTGATATTCCGTTAGAATCTCATATCGTAATGAAATAATCAACGTAACATTGTACGTAGTAGAATTAATAAATACTACTTTGAGAGATAACTAATACTGCATTAGAGAGAGAGAGTTGCCAAAATCGTACTACTTGAGATTCTGTTATATTTTTTTATTGTACTAATTTGCAGGCAAGCAAATTTTAATATTGGAAGCTTGTAGCTTGATGTTTAAAACAGTTACTTGTTAACTTTTTATCAAGAACAAATGAATTTACTAGGAGTTTTAGAAGCTCTTTTATAATGTAGTGCGTAAAAAGTATGATTTAAGAAACTAATTTTCTAAATCGTACGTATCGGTTCACAAAAATATATTTCCTTTAGAAATAGTAAATTTGCAAATAAAAAAATGTGATTGAGACGATTTATACTAATGATTTATATTAATAATATCAAAAAATTAAATTCCAACATAATAATATTGCAATTTGATAATTAATGTTTTAAATACGTTCGCTTATCGCATTTAGCATATCATATATATCATATTTATCATTTTATAAACATATAAATAATTATATATAGCTATATAAAACGGTAAATAATATGATAATATGATAAATAAGTGATTAATAAATAAACATGAGTTGTCAAATTGCATCAGAAACCTCGCGATGATACGATTTAGGAAACATGATAAATTTTATTATATAAAAAAAACATTGATTTAAATTTTAAAATTGTATACATATGTACATAAAATAAATGTAAAGTATTCTAAATAAATCTACTTTTATAAAAATACAGAATCAAATTGCATTGTGAAATTATTATCAGATACACAAATTGATGAAAAATTATATCGATCATACTTGATTGTTTTTTAATGTTTGTACGCACGAAATAAGATAATTTGAAAATTTTTTATTTAGTATTTATCTTTTATATGTAATATAACATACATGCAATGTCTATATTTCTTATTTATTTTTACATATTTTTACTGCCGTGTATATATTTAGTAATAAGAAAATTTAAAATAGATAAGGTACGATTTTAGATACGTATTTGGCAATCCCCTAAATTAAGAAATATATTATTTATAAAAAATGTAATCACATAAAAAAATCAATAATAATTTATAAAACATTGTATATGTTTCTATAATCTTCGCTAACAAAGATATTCCTGCAATTACGGGAATAAACTATCTTCCCGAAAGCCAGTCTTTTAACTTTGATCTAGACTTTGGTCTCTCTAAAAGCGGCACAAATATATTCCCGGCACTGATGTTGTTAATGGCCAGGCTTGTCGGTTTTCCTACGCCCACGTGACCGCGATGTTTTCTCACGCGAAGTAGATAAACCTAGTAGTCGCGTTTATATATACGTTCGCACGCCGGGCTGTGCCTGACCTACCGCACCAAACCGCTGCACTGTCTCGATTCAATTAATTCATTCGTGCGGTGCACGCACGATAGTTTATTCGCATTTCATTCACCGAAACGGCGATATAAAAAGGAAATAAGTAATAAACATGCATTCAAGTTATTTTAATCCGCTTCACTTTCACGCAATTAGATCAGATCTTGCGTCAACCTATTAATTAAATTTTAAACTCCGAGAACGGAATCTCCAATTTATTCGCGCGTCCGTCTGCGTCGATCAGCTAAATTATTTAAATTATTTAGAACAATGGTCGACGTTAAATGCAACTTTCGACTCGATTGTTTTGAACGTGCTTCTATCCGCTTGCACTTTGGCAATGAACTGTCGGATGACAATGCCGCGTAATTAAAATGCGTGATTAAAGTGTACATGATTAAAGCGCGTGATTAAGGCGTGCGATGTTCTGTCTCTGAGTCAAATCGTCATTGAAATTTCGATACGACGGCTCCTGGGACAAAGAATCGCACGCCATCTTTACGCACATCCGACGGCAAGACGTGAGCCACAATTGGTGGGCATCGAAACTTTTCGGGCCGACCGAGTTGCGCGTTCGACGGCAAGACGTGTGCGACAAGAGACTGGTGAGCATCGACACGAAAATCGAGCCGAAAGTTCCACAACCGGCGATTTAGAAGAATCAATTTAGAAATATAAGAAACAAAATAAAGCTCGTAAATCGCGAACGAAATTAAAAGAGATCGTGATCGCGCAAGAACTAATGTGCGTCCCTTTTCTTATTAAAATTAAACGCTTTAGAATAGAAAGAGAGAAAATCACAACGCGTAAGTGAAGATAACGAAATTTTGTACACCGACAGATCAACACACGCACGTGTCTCCTCAATGGCCCGCTGAAAACGTATCTATTTTTTCCCTTATTCGCGATCTAATAAAATATTCTTACAAAATGGAATCTAATCTGCGTGATTAAAGTGCGTGATTAAAGCGCGTCATTAAGGCGTGCGATGTTCTGTCTCTGAGCGACGGTACCGCATGCATGCATATATACAATAAGATCGATTTCTGCAGGAACCATCATTGAAATTTTTTTGGCCGTTTTAAATTTAAATATTTTGTTTTATATTTAATTTTAAATTTTTACGACCGTTCCTGGGACAATTAAAGGATCGCACGCATAATAAAGATCTTTACGCACGTCCAACGACAAGACGTGAGCGACAAGAGACTGGTGAGCATCGACACGAAAATCGAACCGAAAGTTGCACAACCGGCGATTTAGAAGAATCAATTTAGAAATATCAAGAAACAAAATAAAGCAAATCGCGAACGGGATTAAAAAAGATCGTGAATCACGCAAGTTAGTGTGCATCCCTTATCTTATTAAAATGAAACGCTTTAGGACAGAAAGAGAAAATCACAACGCGTTATGAAGATAACGAAATTTTGTACACCGATAGATGAACACACGCGCGTGTCTCATTAATGACCCAAATGTATCTATATTTTTCCTTTAATTTCCACGATCAGAATATTCTTACTCATCTAATCTGGTGTCTGGGCGCTCTATTAGATCTCCGCAAAATATTTATTCACGATATTTGCGATATTTTTTCCCTATCTATCTATTTATTTAGCGGCATGGTATCTAATTCGAAACTTTTTCATGATTTACTCTGTAAAATATATTTCGGCTGTTCATATTGACTTGCAACTGGCAGTTTAACAGATAAAATATTCATGTTTAATCTCTTAAAAGACATCGGGATTATATATCTAATATTGACATTGAGGATACACAGTGTCCTCTCTTCACTGTAAACGGGTATATTTATTCACAAACAGAAAGAAACGGTGGAGCTATTTTGCAAGAAAAGCTTTCTAGTACGAGTGATATGTGAATTTCAAGACGTTATATCAATTCAAAATTACGGAAAGCTTGTGGTGAGAAGTGCGGCTTACAAAATGAAAAATCAGCTAAGAAAGAAAGAAAGAGAAGGGCGATACTATGCCGCTATTATCTACATACGAGCTAGTTATCTACATACGAGACACAATACGCACGTATAATGCCCGGCGTAATGCAATAAAAATGCATCGCTCGATTGGCAAATTTAAAACGATCAGTCTCGCGCGATTTATTGTGTCATCGCGTCGTGTGGATCGTTACATTAACATGCGAATCGACATAAATTAAAAGTAGAGAAGAAAACTTCCTCCTGCTCTAACGTAACTCTTACGGTGGTATTTTTTATAACCGTAATTATGATCTATGCTGTACGCTCGAAGATTTTCTTACGTATTCAAACTTCAAAATAATTTAATTCTTAAAATAATTAAATTCAGGCACAAGTTCTTCGATAAAATCGCGGGTAGTTCTTTAATCGTCAAATTAATTATACGAACGAAATTAATTAAATTTTTATCATCGGTGCCATTAAAAGAATCACGTTTGCAATTAAAAGAACAAAATTTTATTCTGTTTTTAAATCGAACAGCAATATAATAACTTTCAATATTTATCGGTATAAAACCGAACATTTTAATATAAACTCTGCCAAGCGAACAGACTTTTTCGGAGCGAATTCTTTGCTTATCAGCCGTCGGATGACACTAATATGAATGTCACAGATAAAACTTGTGTGATGTAATACCTTTCGTACATGCTACGTCACCGATTAGAGTTACACGAGCGAGGAGAGAATGTTTCCTTTTTTTTACTTTATTTTTTTTTCTTTTTGAGTACGTACCATCGGCACAGCTCGCTAGGTATCTGCCATTGCTGGAAAAGTTCATGTCGTTAACCAGACCGGTGTGTCCCTTCAGCGTAGTCACCGACCACGGGAGAACTCGTTCTTGCTGGGCCTCTCGACGTTTCTTGTTTTTCGCGCGTTTATTGCCGAACTCGCGGGGCTGCATCGGTACTGATGGTGACGGTGGTATATACATGGGCGATTTTGATGCTGGTACGATTTCATGACTGTAATACGCCGCTGTAACACACAAAAAAAATGCAACAAAGCGATTAAAACTCCGCGATGAAATTGGAGCTCCGAATCCGAGCGAACGGATCTCGCGATTCTGGAAGATTCGAAAAAGGCCTCCGTCTTCCGTGGTCTACTAGAATCTTTTTACGCACGTAAGACGAAGAAGATAATAAACATATTAGAATTATAAGCAGTATACCTAAGCAGTAAATTATTTAAGCAGAAAATAAAGTCAACAGACAGTTCTATGATCGGATATTATACAGCCGATAATATACTGAATTGTTGAGCGAAATAGACACGTGTCCTTATAGAAATCGCTATCAAACACGCAACGCATGCACGCACGTTTTGAAAGAAATGTATTTTTTTTTAAATAAATTAATTTTATGATAACATATTGTGTTACTCGATCATCACACGCGGCTAACGAAATAAGTATAAATACTTCGAGAATAGATTTCACTACTTTCACTCTGTCCTTTTACACGTGGCACGGACAATAATTTTAAAAAATAATATATAAAATAATGTATTTTGATATATTACTGCTATCGATGACGTATGCATAAGTGTTGATTGAATAATCCATTCCAGGAGTTGCAGAAGGCACAGGCATGTAAGTGTGTCTGATTTCTTCGGATGAAGGATTTATTGGTACATAAAAACAGTAGCAAAAGCCCGTAATTCCTTGATTTTGATGGATAAAATGTAATAAATGAGGTACGCCATGGGCGCACGTGTAATACACGCATTCCATCTTTAATATACTCGCGTAATATACTCGACTCTCGCGGAACACTACTCGTGCACGATTCGTGCTAATAGATCTATTCGCTTTGAAATTCGGATAGAAAGTAAGATTTGAAAGTCGAACCTCACAATTTCATTGTCGTCGTCCTAAAGGCTAAAGGTCCATCTACAATGAGAGTAGCAAGTCGTATGCCGTCTTCTGCTTGACAAATCACAGTCGAA